TAAGACAGGGTTTTTTCCGTATTGTTTTGGAGCCTGTCCTGGAACTGTTCTGTAGATCAGGCGAGCCTGGAACTCAGAGATCCACCTGTCTCTGCCTCCTGAGTGCTGGAATTAAAGGTGTGAGCCACCAACGCCCTACTCTCATTTCTTTACACATGCTCCACAGACATATTTGTGTGTGTTTGTGTGAATGAATGTGTGTGCAAGCTTGTGAGGCCAGCAGAGGATGCTGGATCCCCTAAAGTTGGATTTAAATGGAATTATGAGCTGCCAGTCATGGAGTACTAGGAATTGAATTTGGGTCCTCTGGAATAACAAGCACTTGTAATTGAGCCATTTCTACAGTCCCCATTTTGTGTATTTTAAATATTGTTTGAGTATAACCTGAATCAGTTCCAAACTAACACATTACATGTTCATTCTTTTTTGAAAATCACTTTTTGTACCTCAGTTCATTCTATGGTGTAGATTATTTATCTGGTCCACTTTTGACATCTGAGTCATTTCAGGTATTTTTGCTACTTCTCTAGAGATCTTTCATTGGAGTGGCTAATTTTCATCCCCTCCCCCAAACTTGAATTTTAATGCTGTTTTTCTTTGCTGTCTTTAATAATCTCATACACTATCCCCAGACTCAATTTCAAGGTTCTGGGAGTAATCACTCTCTACTCTTTCATCACTGGTGCTCACTCATGGCAGGTTGTTTGGTTTGAGGGTGCTCACTTCTATAATAGGGCTAAACAGATAGAACTCCAGACAAAGCATTTTTAAATGTCTACCTCTCCTGCATGCCTCAGTGGCAGCCTGACCCAGAGACTGCAAATCCGAGTGTGTCTCTCTCTCTCTCTCTGTGTGTGTGTGTGTGTGTGTGTGTGTGTGTACATATATAGTAAATTTAAGACCACAATTCATGTGAAAACAAGTTTCTGGCTAAAAAATCTCAGTAAGATCATTTTTCCCCTTTTAAAACTCAGTGTACAAGCCGGGCGTTGGTGGTGCACACCATTATTCCCAGCACTCGGGAGGCAGAGGCAGGGGGATCTCAGTGAGTTAGAGACCAGCCTTGTCTACAAGAGCTAGTTTGGAAAGCCTCCAAAGCCACAGAGAAACCCTGTCTCGAAGGAAAAAAAAAAAAAAAATCTCAGTGTACAGGCCCAAAGACACGGGCTTCCTTTATTATTCTTTTTTGTGTTGAAAGCCAGGCCATTTTTCTAGTTCACCTTGTATGCAACCCCTACAAGGTTCATGTTTTTATAGTGGTAGATTATTTTCACATATTTCCTCATCGAGCCTAAAGTTAAGTGTGCTACAGGAGCTGTTTCATTAATTCTCTTTGGCTCTGGAGATTTCAATTTCTGCATGGTGCAATGATTTGCATTATAATCTGACTCAGCATTTTTAAAGTGTTTTGTAGTATAGGAAATTTATTTTTGTTTAAAATACAATTACTCTACAAGGGCACAGAGTAAAATGGTAATCACCATGGAATTAGGCAAATTGATTTGAATTCTAAGAACTTTGGTCCTAGACACATCTTACTTCTGCTCTGTTTACTCTTTCAGTTTTAGGAACCTGTACAAAAATAAAATGTTCTACGAGTGTGACAAGGCTCTCATACATCTACTTTCAAAAAGTAGCAAGTCCTACCTACTGTAAAAGCAAGCAAAATTCTGTTATTTATGACTAAAATTAATTAAGCATGCACTGGATTTTTTGATATAAAGCTGATGCAATAGTTCATTACTCAGCAGACTGTCTAGTGCATATACAAGAATCTTAGCACTGCATGAACTGTGTATGATGCCCCATGCCTGTAATCCCAGTGTTTTAGAAACTGAGGCAGGACTACTGTGAGTTCCAGGACAGCCAGGGCTATACTATACAAGACCATACCTTGACTGACAAATAAAAACCATAGGAAATGTGGTGGTGCTTTGCAGGAAAAATCTGCAAGAGAAATGTTGGAAATGACAATATTTTTGTTACACATCTCTGTATTACTTTTTCATTGCTATGATAACAGTGACCAAAATCAATCAATCAATCAATCAATCAATCAATCAATCAATCAATCTACCTACCTACCTACCTACCTACCTACCTACCTACCTACCTATATAATTTTTAAAAGCTTCTTTTGGCTTACTGTTCTAAAGGGATGAGTCTATCCAGGTTCCAGGCATGGTTGGCACATGTCTGTAACTCCAGCACTTGGGAGGCAGAGGCAGGTGGAGATCTCTGAGTATGAGGCTAGTGTGGTCTACATAGTGAGTTCCACAACAGCCAGGGCTATGCAGAAAAACCCTGTCTCAGACAAAACAAAAATAGAGTCCATCTTGACTGGAAAACAGGGCAGCAATTAGTGGGCATGGTGGCAGGAGCTGGAAGCTGAAAGATCACATGTCAACCATGAAGCAAAGAAAGCAAACTGGAAGTGGGATAAGGCCTTAAACTCCCAAAGCCTGACTGTAAGCCTCCGGAGTCACACGAGTGGCCAGGCCCCTCCCAAGGACCTCTAACTGCCAGGTTCCACCCACAGAACTCCAACTGCTCTAATTACCAGACCCTGCCCCTATCCTACAGAGTAAAAAGCCCCAATCTCTGGACTTGAAATCCCACCCTGAAAAGTTCTAACCCCTTCCCAAGAAACTCTATATAAGCCTTGTATCCTGTTGAGTTTGCTGCTGTTTCTCACCAAACCAAGCAGAGGCAGCCACTCTCCTGGATTTTTCCATCTCAATAAATCTCTTGTGTGAGGTTTGCTGTGCAGTGTCACTCAGTATTCCTTGGCTCCCAGCTGCCAGAATACCTTTCCATCTGAACTGCAATGCTTACACTGACTACAGAATGTGCTTCTTCCAGCAAGCCTGTCCCTCCATATAACCTCTTCGGACATTCCCACCAACTGGGGGCGGAGTCTAGGGGGGATATTTCTTCTTCAGAACATCACAAAATCAATTGCCACTAGCACTGCCAAAATCAAACAAAGCAGAATCACAAAAGGGTGAGCTGGTCAACTTTAATTATTCAAAGGCAGAAACCAAGAGTAGACCCCTGTGCTGGCCAAAGTTAAAACTCAGTAATAAATACATGGAAGAAAATATTTGGATAACTGACATATATACTGATTTAAAATTCCTAGTGATAACTACATTAAAAGAAAAGATAAAAACACCCAGTAGGTTTCTTAAATAGGTTAAGACACTGAACATGATTTTTTTAGTAGATTAAAATTAAGTAAATTTTTTTCTCCGTATTGATAGTTAAATTTCAAGCTAATCATATCACATCAAAAATTTTTCTCCCAATACATATTCGTATCCTCCTTTTCAACACAGACGGCCATTCCTACACCTGTAATTCCAGCAATAGGGAGACATTCGGGAGGATTGAGACTTTGAGGTCAGACTGGGCTGGCTAGAAAGGAGACCTTGCCTTAAAAAAAAAAAAAAAAAAAAAAAAAAAAAAATCAAAAAACTTGGAAAAACAAGCATGCCGTGGAAGTACATGCCTGTATATCAGCACTTGGGAGGCAAAGGCAGGTGAATCTCCATGATGTCCAGGTCAGCATGATTAGTTCCTTTGCTTTGCTGTTGCTGTGATACAACACCATAACCAAAAGCAACTTAAAAGAGTTTATTTAGGAAAGTTCCAGGCCAGCCAGGACTATGTAGTAAGTAAGACCCTATCTTAAAAGATGAAACAATGCTTCATAACCAATCCAAGAAAGCAAGAATTAAATTTTATTTCACACTGATAGAAACTGTGAAAAACATGACATATTCCAACATTATAGCACAAGAATTCAATGGGATATTTCTTACCACAAATAAAATTTTACTGATGGTATAACTGATGTAAGTTTATGTTCTTCAAAGTAAAGCAAAACAGTAAATGATTGTTTGAAATAGTTTTAAGTTGAGACATAAGCATATGGCTTCATTATCAACATCCTATTTAGTCCATACCCATTCATAATGATGTAACTATAACTATAACTATAACTATATATATATATATAAAGTCAGTCTTTATTAACTATAAATTCATTTTAATAATTTTCACCAGCCATTTTGAACAGTTGATTTAAAATCAGATGATTGCTATCTTAACGTTTGTACAGGAAACTAATTCTCAAAAATGCCTTTACCCAAGATGAAAATTTCAATTTAGTTACTAGATACAAATAAGTTTCTGATTGCTCATGTTGAACAGTATTTGGTTTTAAATATAACACATGTACAGAAAATGTAAACTTAAAGTCTGCTATAAGATGTAACTGTTTTTGAAGTTAGACTTCAAAACTGGTCTTAAATACTTATTTTTGAACATGCCAAGGTACTATTTACCCTTCAAGGTTTGTTTTATTTTGTTTTGTGTTTACATAGAAATAAAAACAGATTATCGGGACTGACGTTTCTACAGTCTAAAGTAGGACTGAGGTGCAGTTCATTGAAATATGCAAGATTAAATAATGTTTGATTTCTTTTCACATTACCTAGATTTGAAATACAATATGTCTATGATTCTGAATGTCAATTACAGTATATATTGACAGGTTTTTTTAATGGCAGAGTGGCAATATTGGTCTCTATGATAAAAAGAAAACCAAACTTTAGTTTCCTGAAAGGAGAAAAATTAAAAAGATTAAATAATGTTTGATTTCTTTTCACATTACCTAGATTTGAAATACAATATGTCTATGATTCTGAATGTCAATTACCTTTTCTGACGCTTAAAAAGCATTATCCCTAGTATCAAGGATAATGTAATACCATCTAACTCTTATGTATTACAGTCATGGATATATGAACACACATATAAAATACAGACACTGCATGGTGACTAAAGAGCTGAGGAATAAAACCATAGTCTAACTCACAGCATTTACAAGTCACTTACAGATGATCTTTAACAGCTTGTTTAGACCTGAACAAATTTCAGTGAGCATACTAGTAATTTTCAAACAATGTCATAAAAACTCTGATTGTGTTATTTTATTTTGTTGAATTAATTTGAGAAAAAGAAACTAGCTGCTTCACTTCACTGACTTTAATACTAGTAATCTTATGGATTGCTTAATACAGATACATGTATAGAAACTTAAAAAAATCATACATTTCCATGAGGGAGATATCATTGATCATATGCATAAGCAAAACATTTTAACACTGTGAACACTAGAAGTTTTATGATCAGGCATGGGGAAAGGTTTATACTCTACAACAGTGATGCTGGTGACCATCTACACAAGGCCTCTTAGTGACGTCAATCAATTGGAGGTAGGAGTTTATCAATGAATTGCTTGACATCCATCATTTCCTGTTTAGAAAAAAATGTTTTAATGAACAGCTACATAAATTAGAAATTACATTTCCAAGAATGCCAGTAATAAAATCCATGTAGGCCAGGATGTTTTACTACTCCAATAAAAAGGCATGTAAGAGAAATGAAGCTCCAATAGAAATTCTGTAACCTTTCTTAGGATTATTATTTTACACTAAAATAAAAGCTCCCATACTATCTAGTTCAATGAAGTCTGCATTTTCTGACATGCAAATAAAACACCGAGAGTCAGGAAGTTCAGAATGACAATACCTACACCAAGAAGTTTAGTAAGGTCTACTTACTGCCAACTGAGCATCATGAGTTTCCTCCTTAGAATGAAATGATACATAGATAGTCTCCTTTGTGTGAGTGCATTTCATAAAGCATTATATAACAGCTCCTCTTTGGAAAGAATGTGTGTGTCAGACAGTCCTTGGGAAAGAAGAAGGTAACTTTCTCCAGGAAGCTCCTAAGTCAAAACCCATTCTCCTTTCCTCCAGTCCCTGGCCCTCACTGGTCAACAAGCTAGCTATGCAGTGCACTTCCCACCTTGTATCTGTTCACTGAGAAGAGCTATTTTACAAAACTCTAAAGCCCTACCTCACAGTTTCCTGTACTATCCCATCCCCATCCTCCATTCATGCTCACTCAGCCCGAAGTCCTCAAATGCCGGCACAAACTGTCATTTATGCGCTCAGGGTCTTTAGCCACCCAAGTCTCTAGGATGACTCCCTACTCTTCTAGATTCAACAACTCCTTTAAGGGTGTGGGGAGATGGAGGGGTTACTAGGATCCCAGGCACGCTGGTCTTTTTGTGTACATTGTATTACTACCCACTTCCTTTGCACCTAAAGCAAATGATTTAAACTTACTTAATGGTTGTACAACAGTGTTAGCTGAGATTACACCCAGAGATTGGCAATCAAATTTTATTCTAGGTCATTACAAACACCCTAAACTCATCCAGGTCTTTCTCTTCTAAGTAAATATCTCCTACTTCATCAAGAAGACAAAAAGCATGAAATATAAACTCCCAAGAACCTTGCCTCTTTCTTGCCATCTCTTGGTAATACTCACCCAATAATGTTCCATCTTAATGCAAATGTTCTCTTTTAAGGTAGCACAATCCAGCTATTGTCCCAGATGAGCATATGATCTAAGTTATCCCCTCATCATATACCTTTATCACCTCCTACTCATGTCTTTCTCCCATTTCATTAAAGAAGGCTCTCACTTATAACAACTTAAATTTTACTAAGTAAAAAGGTTTATTTATAAGTTGGCCTTTGGATTATATACATTGCTCATTTATAAAAGGTAATCCGATTTTAAAAATTTAATTGAATAAGCTATCATTGAAAATTGTGTTACATTGATTCAATTATGAATTCATTTTAAATCACCTATATCCAAGTGTTACTTATCTTGAAAATATAACATGGAAAATGTTAAAGTAGTAGCTATATTCACTCCTTCCAGACACTTACCTGCTGACATGAGCTGTGCATCATGCCTTCATAGACTTTGAAGGTTACATTGGATGGATTTACCAATGATTTTAGTTTTTCAACAGTAAGAGAACCAGACAGAAGGGGAACTAAAGGGTCACAATCTCCATGGCACTGGAGAATAGAAATATCTCTATTAGTGCTATTGATAGGACCCTGCAAAACAAATATAAAGGAATATTATTTATCAAATATAAAAAACACTGTTCCAAACTCCTAAAAACTATAGATATACATTCATATGCTATTACTCATAATTCAGTCAAATATTTTGGTCAAGTAAACCCTCTATCTTTATGTTCCCCCAACATCTTTAATTTAAACTTCTATGGGATACAATATTATTTTGCCATGTATTATAATACGTTTCCAATGAATCAGTTTCCTTAAGCCGATTACATTTTAATTCATATATGAAAATAAATAAAAAATTGTTAGCACACATTAGGTTATGTTCTCCTCAACTTTATAACTGAGTTAAATAAGAAGAGTTAACAATCTATTATGTACAGTACTCTGAAAATTTACTACATGGGAAAAGGACTGAACTCTGAAATAGGAAATGAGCTGAGTGTGACAAATTACTACACCTGCAATCCCAGCACCTGGGGGCTGGTGTAAGGATCACAGATTTAAGGTCAGCCTCATCTATATACTGTCAAGAGAAAACATAATAGCAGTTTAAACACAGCACTAATGTACTTAATTAGTATGTTCAAGGTGCTAGGATTAATCCCTAGCACTGAAAACAAAAAGCAAAGTAAAATAAAGAATCTGAAAATAATCTCCACAATTCTTATGGTGCATAACATATTATGCCAGTGTTAAAATAATTTATAATTTTATAGTAAAATTCTGCAGTAAAATGACTACATTAAACATTTGAAACTCGAGTCAAAATGTGTGTGAGTATGTGTCTTAAAATGCACCGAATGATTAAATGTAAAGACAGCAAGCTTCTTATTCTATCCATATAATCGACAGGATTTTATATACACTTGTAGTAATACACCAAAGGTCTAAAGAAATACTTTAGAAATAAGATGACTGATGTAAATCATGAACTTTGGGTAGTAATGATGTTTAGTGCTGGCTCATCAACTGAAGCAAAGGTACCACTGTAGTGTGGATTGTCTACTGTAGGGGAGGCTGTGTGTGGAGTTGAAAGGAAGACCCTTCATTTCCCACTCCATTTTCTATAAACCTAAAGCTTCTAAAAAAGATAAAAAAAACCTCATTAATTAAAAGAAAAAATTACTTGCTTCTAAACATTATCTGCTATCTCCTAGCTCTGTAATCTCATTTATTCACACCATGTAAGCTACCTGCGGAAATGAAGCCCGGAGTGGAAGCCAGCAACTGAGCGCAGTGACGCCGGCCAGTTTCTGCTGTGTGGTAAGAGCGGTGTATAAAGATAAAGCGCCTCCCTGGAACAGAAGCAGGGAGTTAACTGGAGCAGTTCTGCCAAAAGCATGTGTGAGGATACTTTTTTTTAATGTCCATAAGAAAATACACTGTGTTAAACCAGGTAAGCCGGGTGTGCTGGTGCACTTGGGAAGCAGCGACAGGTGGATCTGTCTTGAGTATGAGGCCAGCCTGGTTTACAATGAGTTCCAGGACAGCCAGGGCTACACAAAGAAACTATATCTTAAAGAACCAAAGGGGGTAAAATCAAACCTGGTAAAGAATGAAAACATATACTCGTAATGGATAGATCACCACCTCTAAGGAAACACACCAATATAAGATCTCTACTTACAGCATGGCTTAAGAACAGTCTCATTTTCTTCACTGAAAAGTCTTAGATATAAACTCCAAATGAGATTTAAGTTATTTTTCCAAAAGAAGGATTTAAGATAATACAGGTGGAATGCCAGACACCTTTAGTTAGGGGTTTGCCCACCTAGCTCATAACACACTGTGTGTTGGGAACTATAATTGTGTTAGTCATCTAGATGCAATTCCCTGACCATGCCCATACCACATAAGGACATGAGAGACTTTCTGATCCCAGGAAGTGATATTCTGTATCTCAGGACTGTGGGATTGGAATTCAGTTACTTTTAGGTCATCTCTATGTGGTTGGAAATCAACCATATAAACCCTAGAGTTGTAAAAGCAAATATAGTCAATAGTTGGTGGAAAGTCAAATAAACAGATAAACAAAGTAAAGAAATAACCATGGAGAGAAAGTCCTGATGGCTTGCCAAGTAATACCTATTTCCTCCGGTGTAGTTTTATTTTCAGTTTCCTTGATATAATGATACCACAGACTTATAAGTAACTTATCATTTAAAGTATTTGGAATGTGTTTCCTTAGGTGTATGGAGTGTTAGTGTGGCAGTTAGAGGTTGAAGTCAGGTATCTTCCAGTTGTTTTCTACCTTATTTTTTGAGGCATGATCTCTAGTCTCTGACTGAACCTGGAATTACTCAAGGCTGAGATGCCAGGTAGCTCAGGGGATCTGTCTGTTGCCACTTCCCCAGCACCAGCGCTATGATGTTTGACATCACGCTCAGCTTTTCACACAGGTTCTGGGGAGCCAAACTTGGCACCTCATGGTTGTGTGATAAGTGCTATACTGCCTGATGCATCTCCCCAGTCCTAGGAATTAGTTTCTGTAGGCAATCATTATCAAATAACATCACTATGTACACATTATCCTTTAAGTAAAGCATTAATTTTTGGCCTTATGCTTGTATGGGTATGTGTATTTTGTATTACCTAGACAAAGGCCACATATCAATAACACCTTTTTATTTATTTAAAGTTCTTTTTATTCTTTTGTTTTTTCTTTTTTAAAACAAGAATTTTTCTGTGTATCTCTGGCCGTTCTGGAACTTGCTCTGTAAACCAGGCTGGTCTTGAACTCAGAGATGAGCCTGCCTCTGCCTCCTGAGTTCTGGGATTAAAGACATGCATTGCTGTTTTGTGTGCATGTGGGTGTCAGATCCCCTGCAGTTAGAGTTACAGACAGTTGTGAACTGCCATATGAGTGCTGGGAATTGAACCTGGGTCCTCTGGAAGAGTAAGTGTTCTTAACCACTGCCCCAACTCTTCAGTTCCCCATCAGTAACATCTTTTTAAATTTATATTAACCACATTTTCACATTCCATTGAGTTTTATTGTCTCAACTGACATTTCTCATAGTTATTGACTTAGGAGATTAGAAGCTAGAACATTCTGGGGACAGGTTACTTGGAAACTGGTGAGTAAGTGTAAGTTCAATGTGGGGATATAACTTAGTGATAAAGAGCTTTTTCTTCAGCTTGTGTAGGACCTAGGGCAATCACGGACACCACAAAACAAACTAGGAAGGATGTTAAAGACGCTGGACATGGAGGAATTACCAAGGCTGAAGAAAGAAACCCAAGTAATACTGTACTTATATCTTAGAAACCTAGGCCCTTAACACCTGTTCTCTTATAATTCTGTTTCACCCAAAAAAGCCTAACTAGTATATTGTGGTTACATTAAGAAAGTACATTCTAGCTGGGCAGTGGTGGCGCATGCCTTAGATTCCAGCACTCAGGAGGCTGAGGCAGATGGATCTCTGTGAGTCTGAGGCCAGCAGGGTCTATAGCATGACTTCTTGGACAGACAGGACTACACAGAAAGACTCTGTCTCAAATAATAATAATAATAATCATAATCATAAAAAAATAAAAAAGGAAGAAAGAAAAAATACATTCTAGGTTCCAATCTATTTTTTAATGATTGAAAGCAATCTTTCATGTGTCTGTGTGTATGTCTTTCCAAGACAGAGTTTCCCTTTCTCTCTCTGTAACAGCCTTGGGACTGCCCTGAAGCTCACTTTGTAGAACAGGCTGGCCTCAAACTCAGAGAGACCACCTGCCTCTGCCTCCTGAATGCTGGGATCAAAAGGTGTGTCCCACCACTCCAGGCCATCCAGAGGCAATCTAAAAGAAAAACATGACTATGATAAGAAACTAGAAAATAAATAAAATGAAGTCTAGGAGGCAGAAATTGTCCATCCAGTCCAATGTTAACTCAGCAGCTATATCATCTAAGATTCTGTAACAGCTCCAAAAAAGAGACTATTCCAAAGAAACACAACTGAAGGTAAACTTGTAGATCAATAGGCTGATGTATGGACAAGCCAATCAAGCTTACCTGAGAAAATCCTCCCAGAATAATTCTGTTAGAGGGAATGCCATTCTTCACCTCTTGTTCTATCAAAGCTTTTACTGGAAACAAGAAAAGTATCATAAATACTTTCGGAGTTAAGCCCCTGATAACTAAAAATCTGAGGAAAATAACAGACTCACGGAATATTAAAGACACAAATGAATGAAAACTTTGAAGCATTCTATTTAAAAACACAATGTGGCACGTATGTGACTCCTTAGGCTCTCTAGGGGTTGCTGAGCTTAACACTCCTCTAACTTCCTGTGACACAGCTTCTCCCCACAGAGAGCTGTATGTCCTTTTATTTATGGTAAGTTCTAGTATACATTTTATATTTCTGTCCAATAAACCAAATGGAAATTAGGTAAAAGTTGTCATTTTAAAATGGAATATGTTTAAAGAATATGTAATTTGTGGCTCACAGTGTCTAACACCATTAATGACATTTTTAAAAACTGCATTACTTTTTCCTATAATTCAAATGATTATAATTTCTGATGGGGGAGGTCCTTCTGTGTATATGTTTGTCTTATTGGTTGATAAAGCACTGTTGGCCAATAGGAAAGCAAGTTAGGTGGGACTAGGAGAGAAAGAGGATTCTGGGAAATGTAGCAAAGGGCAGAGTCGCCATGTGAAGAGAACACATTCTGCCAGCATCCTCGATAAGTCTTTATAAAATATATAGATTGATGATTGTGGTTGATAATTAAGACTGAGCTAGCAGATAAGAAATCCTACTCATTGGCCAGATAATTAAGACTGAGTTAGCAGATAAGAAATCCTAGTCATTGGCCAGCAGCACTGTAAATAATATAAGACTCTGTATGTTATTTGGGAGCCCTAATGTGATGGTGGAAGTGAGCGGCTAGCAGAAAGAGTTATCGTTACAAATTTCTGTTTAAATAGAAATAGTAAATGATGAGGGAGTCATTTGAAATCGTGTTCCTACCTGTTTATGCCTGGTCCAGAGTCCATAAAGGGGTATTAGAATCCCTGGACCTTCAGTTATAGACAGCCACGTCCAAATTTAGTTACTTTTAGTTTATTAAAAGTTTAAGCTGGGTGTAGTGGCTCCAGCCTTTAATCCCAGCACTTGGGAGGCAGAGGCAGGCAAATCTCTGTGAGTTCAAGGCCAGCCTGGTCTACAGAGTGAGTTATAGGACAGCTCTGTCTCAAAACAAACAAAAATTAGTTTTTAAAAAATTAGTTCTTAAAGTTTATATGAAAAAGAAAAAGCAGTCCATAGTATGAACAGCATGTGACCGTGGTTTGACAGCAGGAAATGAAAGAATTATTGAGACAAATGAGCAGAGGGGCATAGACAGTCCAGATGTCAGGAAGGGGCGGCAGCTGTGGGCTTGAGGAATGTCAACTCCATCCAGCCCAGGAGCCTGAGATGGTTTAGTGTTACTTTCTAGATTTCACCAACTGATGGTATAATCTACACAGTATAAAACAAAAATGTTTTAACAAACCACAGTGAAAGCAGCCATTTGTAGAGCAGTGGGTTCTAAATTCACATTCTAAGAGCATAGGCATGATGCCCTTCCCAGAATTTATTCAGTAGCATATCCTCTCTATCCTTGTCTTCCTAGCCAACTCTCTGACCTTCATTCTCTTCAATATTCATTTGAGAGGAAAGAAATAACTACTGTTAAAAGACAATCTTTTACTCAGGGGCTTACTAACCAGAATAACTCTTCCATCTTCCACAGGTTCTAACACAGTTTTACCCAAATAAAGATTTTTCTCATTTAATATTAAGACAAAACCTTGGCTCTAAGATTCTGGCATTAATATACATTCGGATAATCTAAAAAGCCACTGGGCAGGGTTTCACATTCCCAGATAGTTAATGTGTTTTGGATATATTTTCTCTATCTCAAAAATTTAAAGATGTTTTTTAAAAGAGTAAGAAATTCTTTTATCTATTTTGGAAAACTTCAAATAAACATAAAAGTAGAAAAAGTAGCTTATGTACACGGCTCCAAGACTCTGCAGTTACCAATTCTCACCTGGACTGGTTTCTTCTAATGTGGCCCACAAACAGAAGTCACCATTTAAGGCTATTCTAAAGTCATTGCCAGTCACTGCATTGTATGAAAAACCCAAAGATATTTTAACTCCAACATGCACGTGAAAGAAAAGTTTCTTGTTTTTATGTTTTCACTCACAAAACAATACTTATAATGGAGAATGGAGTACTAAATTCACAGGAGTGTTAAATGAGCCAATTTATAAGAAATGGCTAGCTAGTAAGGAGCTAAGTAAAAAATAGTATCTATCATTATTTCATTAACAGTAACTATTTATATCACTTTTACTGTTAGTTATCTTTATGTCATTATCATTACTTCAAGTCTCTTTAATAACTATATACAACTATTAAGCAAAGCACTATTTTCTCCAGTGCCTATTTTTGTTTTGAGATAGGGTTTGCTGTGGAATCTAGGATGGAATCTATATCTTACAGCCATCCTCTTGCCTCAACCTCCCAAGAGCTGGGATTACAGATAGGTACCACAATGCTCAGCTTTGCTTATGTCAATCAAAACAAAATCTCTATCCAGCAGAGCTCAAGTATGTATGTATGCATATATATGCTGTTCCTTCCCATCTATTTGTCTGCCAATGAATATAGATAAGAGAATGTATATAGGTGGTTACATGGCTGCCACTGACTATAGATACAAAGAGTAATCAGAATGAACACTGTGTGCTTGTCTACTATTTGTGAGGCTCTAGGTTAGTCCCCAGCATGGCAAAGGGAGGAAAGGAGGGTCATGGGGGATGTCCTTATGTTTATGTTTCTCTTATTGGTTGATGAATAAAACACTGTTTGGCCAATAGAGGCAGGGAGAGAGGCAGGGATAGGAGACAAGGAGACTGCTGGGGAGAGATGCAGAGAGGCGCCGCAAAGAGATACCATGTAGCCACCAAAGGAGTTAACAGGTCTAGGCATTCTCTGGTAAGCCACGTGGAAATACACAGATTAATGGAAATGGGTTAATAATTAAAAACAGTAAGAAACCCTAGACATTGGCCAACAGTTTAATAATTAATATAAGTCTTTGTGTGTTTATTTGGGGCTAACAGCTGCGGGACCAGGCAGGAAAGAGATTCCAGCAATAGGAGGGAAAGAGGAAAAAGGAAGAGGAGAAGAGGAAGGCAGGAAGTAAGGGAAAAGGATAAAGCAATGGATTAGGTACTGTCACATTTAATCAAATTTAAGTAGTGAATCTACCAAAAACAACATTTACTCAATCTTTACTGAATCTACTAAAAACACTGATGAATGTGTTTGCCTTCATAAACACTTTTGGTACTCACCACTTTCTGCTGCCTGTTTAATTCCAGATTCATCCTCATGAGAATCTGGTGAAAGTCCAATAATATCAAACCTGGAAAATAAGGCCACAAGAAAAGAACTATTAGAGTCTAAAAGTCCATACTTAGCAGATACATTTACTAATTTCAAGTTAATCTGTAGAGAAATTGGGACACTCACTAATATTCTTTCTGACTGTGAAGGGTATAACAGAAATCTTGAGAGGACTGCAAGGGAAATGACCTTACCATCAAACCAGCCAGCCAGAATGGCAAGCAGCTGGCAGAACAAAGATGCTGTGATATAATCAGTGTGCCTGTCTCATGAATCAAATGTTTGATTAATGTACCCAACAAATACCAAGCAGCAGCACAGATTTCTCTTTATTACTCACTCTTGTTTTTCTACCTTTTATATAGCTTCTTAAGTTAACACAGTTAGCTTAATAAAGCATGAATACTGGAATAGAAGTTAAGTTTAATTGTTCTCTAGCAATTTAAAAAATATCTAAAGAAAACAAAAAACATTCATGTACACAAGAGCTCTTCTGAAAAGATTAAAATGGTTTTTTGTTGTTTATTTTTTGAGATAGGGTTTTTCTATGTAGCCCTGGCTATGCTGGAACTCACTCTGTAGACCAGACTCGCCTGGAACTCATAGAGATCTACCAGCCTCTCCCTCCAGAATGCTGGGATTCTAAAGATGTACGCTAGCACTGCCCAGTGACTAAAAGGTTCTTAATAAGAAAGTAAACTTTTACTTACCAAGAAGGCATAGCCATATTCATATTTAATGTTACAGGCATAACAGGACTATGTGGGAAAGAAAGAAACAGCACATCAGGATAACAGAGCCAAGTGTCACATTATGGCTTTAACATGCAGTACATGTCACATCTCCATCTGCAAAGCTCTGTTCCTTTTGTCCCACAACTCTTTTCTGAAGGCAAAGCAGCTGTTGCAGAGGACCAAGTTGGCTCAGGACTAAACTTGGCTCATAACAAGTACTTTTTGTCTCAATGGCCTTTCTTACTAACTGTAACTTCTAGGAACTGAGACAACTGGAAATATATATACAAGGAGACTCTGGTAAGAGTAATTAATTGCTAGATACAGTACTACCAATCCCCATATGCTGATGGGGAATGTAGTTCTGTGTATGTTCATTTTATTGATTGTTGAATAAAGTACTGTTTGGCCAATGAGGCAGCAAGTTAGACGGGACTAGGAGTCAAGGAGGATTCTGGGAAATGTAATAAGAAGTGGTGATCCAGGCAGGAAGTGACATAGCAGGGAGACCCATATTTAAGCAAGGACAAGCAGGAAGTGGTTCCCTTTCCCCTTTGTTCTTCCTCCTGCTCTCTGCTCTGAGCCACCATGTGATCCCAGGGATTAGGATGCCAGCAGAAGGCATCCAATAAGATAAGTCTTATAGATTTATGATAATTAAGACTGAGCTAGCAGATGAGAAATCCTAGTCACTGGCCAAGCAGCATTTGTACATAATATAAGTCTCTGAGTATTATTTTGTCCATCCATGTGGCGGGCACAACTCAAGCGGGTGGCGGAAAGATTTATTGTAACAATATGCCTGGATTATATTTTGCTTACTCCCTAGTTACATACCTGCTTGATTAAGAGACCTATAAATAAATATAAGTTCTACCCTAGTGTTCATTATGTCCAACTCAAATCTCACACTAGCTAAATCTCAAATCACTCTAGCTAAAGTATTCAGCTGTAGCCTACAGAGGTAAGTCAGACCCTCTGCCTCCAGACAAGGAAATCCCAGACTTTATTCCCCTTTCCACTGTCATCTCAGTTGTCCTGTTATTTCTGAAGTGTAAGCACTAACCTACCAGCATGGACCCAATGTTTTTAGTTCCCCTCTCGCTTTTTTTAGCAACCTTTCACCTTAAATTAGCCAAGCTTACTGGTTTTCGGAGCTAGCTCAAAACTTGCTAGCTTCCTAACACCAGCAAACATTTTCAGAGCCAGGTGCTAAGACCCCGTCTATGACAGTGTATCACACTGCCTCTAATTAATAAAAACCAAATTTCTTGAATTGAATGAAGATTTTTCACAAATCTAGCTCATAACCCATTTATAGATAACACATGATATCTTTGGAACTCTACAAGTACTTACATATCTGAAAGAATTTTTGTGGCTTTAAGTTCATCTGACCTTTAGAAGAATATCTTAAATTTCAAAAGAGGATTTCTTTTTCAATTTAACCAAGAAAATATTTTAGCATTAGTGTTAGTAGTCTTTTTTAACCTAAGAGAGAAACAATTATATTCATGTATTTTTCTGGAAAAGCAAAACTATTACAATTTGTTCTAGATTTTGAAGAAAAAAACCCTAAATATTAGAAATACTCACGCATGTGGACAGATGTATTTGATGTGGGAACTTCTGATACCTGCAAAAGCTTCTGCCCATCCGTGCCTGGTAGAAAATTATTAAAATCATGCTATTAATAACTTTTAAATTCTAATAAACTGATACAGAGCAGTACTTTATAACAAGTTAGCTCCTTACAGTACTGTAAGAGTAAGGGATAATCTCAAAACTTATAAGGAAATAAAAATGATTGGTGAGCAATAAAAACACTGCTGAGAAGATCCCCATCCCTGACCTCAAGTTACACCACAGAGCTGTAGTAATAACAACAGCACAGCCCTGGCATAAAAACAAACACATTGATAAATAGTAGAGAATGGAAGACTCAGATAAGCACATACACTAATTCTTGATGAAGACAAAAAAATACCGGAGAAAAGACAGTATCTCCAACAAATGGTGCTGATCTCACTGGACAACGACATACAGAAGAATGAAACTGAGCCTCATCTCTCACTCTATACAAAATGCAACTCCAAGTGGATCAAGGACATTAACATAGGATGTAATACCTTGTACTGATAGAAAAGAGGAAGTATGAATACACTCAAATTCATTGGCACAGTAACGGACTTTCTGGATACGACACTGATAGCACAAGCATTAAGACTAACAACAAATGGGATCTCAGGAAACTAAAAAGATTCTGTACAGCCAAGGACACTATCATTTAAGCAAAGAAGTAACCCACAGAATAGGGAAAAATCTTTACCAATCATACATCTGACAGTGAATTAGTTAACTAGAATATAAAAGAACTATATAACAAAATGAAACTCCAAAATACTGGAACATCAAGGAAATAATCTAAGATGGGTATAGAACTAAGAGTTATCAAAAGATAAAATACTAAAAGCTGAGAAATATTTAAAGAAATGTTTGATATCCTTAATCATCAGGAAAAGACAACTTAAAATTATTTTCAGATTTTATCTTAGCCCAATTCAGAATGTCCAATATTAATAAAAACAAATGGCAGTACATGTTGGTAAGGATGTGGGAAAAGGGGAATGCTTATTCATTGTGAGTAGGAGTACAAATTTGTACAGCCACTATGAAACTTAGGAGGCTCCTCAAGAAGCTGGGAATCAACTTACCTTGGGCATATACCCAAAGGATTCTACATCCTACCAAAGAGATTTGCTCATCCATGTTCTCTGCAGCTCTATTCATAATAGCCAGAAATGGAAAGCACTTGATGTCCATCAACAAATGAAAGTAAAATGAAAATGTACTATATTTATACAGTTGTACATTATACAATCCAGCTGATAAAATATCATAGGATTTTCAGGTAAATGGATGGAGCTGAAACAATCATCCTGCACTGTTTTCAACTAAGTCTTTGTGGTTCTATATCAATAAAGATGACTGGATGAAATCCTGCTAGCTCAGAGAGGCAAAGAAAACACCCAGCTGAGCTTTTTCCTCCACCAACATCCTAGAAATAGAGCTTTCTCCTACACTGTCTCAAACAAAACTCAGACTGAATGTCCCTCCCTTCTACTTCCTGTGCATCTCTCTATCCATCCTCCAGACTCTCTCTTTTTTTCTCTGCCAACTGGCTGTTCTACCTCTTGACCTATGGTTGACTTTATGTAACCCTGTTTACAATATTCAAGCAGAAAGTTCTTGGATTATGGGTGTGTACTAAGGCTGAGGCACACCACAACTAGAAACAGGTTTTTCCAGTAAAAAAACACAATCCCAGGGTTCACAGTGTGATGAAATATCCTGCAACACTGCATTAGGGGGAGTTAGCATTTATGCTTAAGATGTGTATATGCCATTTAGAAAACCCAGAGTTTAGGGATGGAGGGGTCTTCTAAGAAAGAGGATACAGAATACAGAGTTATGAAGGGGTAAAGGGAAATTAGAGCAGGAGGATTAAGTGGGGTGAGGGATGGTAATGCAGGAAAGAGGGAACGTGGTGAGGGATAACTAACACTAACAGCTTTTGAAAAGCCATATGGAGACCTGCTGCAATAGAAGTTTCCTAAAACAGGTACATATAAAAAAAGAATTTAAATCGACTCACATTATAATGGGTGGGCAATACCCCAACTTATCATAACATGCCACCAAATAAAAACTCCAATATCATGTACGGGTTACATCTTTTTGAGTTGTTGGCCAAAGGGGTCCCAGAGACTGCAGCTCCAAACTTATAGGCTAGTGGCAATGCTATTCTACTGGATATCCTCTATAAATTGGTGGTAAAGACCTTATTGTTGAAGACATAGCCTACTTACATCAAACATGGAGAAATCGAGCTTATGCCCAACTGGAAGTATAGGTGGCTCTCTTGGACTGCCAGCCCCCAAACATTGACATGGATATCTATTAATTATGAATGATCAGCCTTAGCTCTGGCTTGTTTCTAGCCAGATCATTTTTTTTCTTTAACATAAATTAACACATTTCTATTAATCTATGTGCTACCCTGAGGCTTGTTTACCTCATCTGCATACTGTCCATCATGCTGTCCTGCTTCACCCATGTCTGGCTGGCCCCCAGCTGGCTGGCTATGCTTTTCTCTCTGCCCACCAGGCCCAACTACTCCTCTTCTGCCTAGCTATTGGCTGTTCAGGTTTTTATTAGACCAATCAGGTACCTTAGGCAGACAAGGTAAAACACATCTTTAATTAGTTAAACAAATTCGGCATAAACAAGGGAAACATCTTTATATAGTGAAACAATTATTCTGCAAAACAAATACAACACATCTTTACATAGTTAAGCAAATACTCTATTCTACGCCATGGACGCTTCACTTCCACTGATTAATGTTCACAGGGATAAATGGTGATTGAGCAATACTCTGATTTATGAGTATAACAGTGCAGTGGTTTGAATGAGAATGCCCCCCACAGTCTCATATATTCGAATGTTTGGTTCCTTTATTTATGCTGCATTGAAACCCAAAAACAGATGGTTAGGGAAGAGAACATCTGGCAGGAGTTAGGGGACTGTCAAAGAATATGATAAAAAATATACTCTATGTGATGGGCAATGGTGGCGCATGCCTTTAATCCCAGCACTTGGGAGGCAGAGGCAGGCAGATCTCTATGAGAGGCCAGCCTGGTCTACAGAGTGAGTTCCAAGACAGCCAAGGCTACACAAAGAAACCCTGTTTTGAGAAACCAAAAATAAGTAAATAAATAGACCTATGAAATTCTCAACAAGTAAGTTAAAACATTTAAAAATATATGTGCTAAAATCAACACATGTTCAAAATAGAAGACAAAAATTCCTGAAAAAAAAAAAAAAAGTATGTAAGATGTCACAGTACTGCCTGTCTATGCATTCCTTTAATCCCAGCACTCAGGAAGCAGAGGCAGGCAGGAGGATCTGTGAGTTCAAAGCCAACCTGGTCTACAGAGTGAGTTCCAGAACAGCCAGTGCTACACAGAGAAACCCTGTCTGGAAAACCAACAACAAACAAAAAAATAAAAACAAAAAAACACAACCAAACAAAAGTCACAATCCTTCCAGCCAGAGGCTGTCCTCATTCTTAGTGTCTCTTTAGCCTATCAGGTATGGAATTATAGACTTGTGCCACCAAACCAACCTCAGCTAATCTTCTGATGTATTTTCCTTCTATATAGTTTCTGGCTTATTTACTCTTACATTATACTTGAACTTTTTACATATCACCTTTCCTAAAGGATTAGGCAGAAGTCATTTGAACCAGATTTCCTTTGTAAAACTGTCCACCATAACTTTAAAATACTTTTATAAACTTTTATTCTGTATTAATCCATTGTTCTCCAAGTGTTCAAGACAAAAAGATTTAAAAAGTATGATCCACGCTATTCTAGGAATTTGGTTTGTGCTTGTGTCTAAGTACAAGCTCATGTGGATTTGTGTTGTGTATTGTCAGAACACAGTTCAAGAACAGAGTTGTGTGAGGAGATTCTGAGGACTTGTGAGAAGGCACCAACAAACCAAGACAAGAGGCTTGTGATCCTAGTTTCTTCAATAACATGGAATGTTCTTGAGATGTGCTTTCCTAATCCTCCCAGGTGTAGAAGATAGGAGAGCTTTACTTCAGATTACTCATTACACCTGGCTATTATTATTTGTCTATGTGCCTCCATGGAAGAAACCATGATTTTGCTACATGCGGCTTATCTGCCACAAGTGGCTTGTCCTTGTGATTGTACACTCTACTCATGTGACTCTTCTTAACCCTCATTATAATTTGTCTGAGGCTCTGCATAAAGTTGGCTATTGCATGAAGCTTTAGTCCACCTCATTTATCAACTCTTCCCTCTCAGGTCCCACCACC